ACAATGCCCTTTTTCAAAGTCTTCTGTTTCTTTTGGCAAGATTGACATAGCTTCAAATATGTCATAGTAGCCTCAACTGTTACATTTTTATACTTGTGGTTACATTCCTTAAGCATCTGTGTCCTTCCACCGTGACCAACAGCAACATGTGTTTCTTCGAGAATATTGAATAAGTCCTCGTAACAAATATAATACCTTATTTCTCCATCCTCCTCCTTCATAGGTGCAATTAGTTTTTCTTCGACGCCTATAGTCAAAATCTCGTAACGCCTTATACACCTGTAATGAACAGCTTGTTTCTTTTTCATGTTCTTTGTAGCTTTTACTTCCTCCAAACACGTTGCATATTTGTCCCTATTAAGTAAAAGTTATTATCTTTCTTGCTTGCAATGAGCTCGTCCATTATTTCATAAAATCTCCATTTCACACTCATCTTGATTCATAAATAACTTTTAGACAGAGAAATCTCAAACAAGATTAGAATTAATGTGCGCTTTCTAACGTGTCAAACGATGAAATGTGGCGAGCGAAGGCGGTGACGCGGTGCGGTGCAGAAAGCGGGAACTATTTTTTCAGCATTTACCATGTCTCTGAGGTAAAACCTAAGATATACCGAGTAAATGCTGGTAAAAGTTCGAAATTACGGATGATCACAGAACATTTCGGACTTTTACCACAGTTCGAGCATTTACAGTAACATATATATATAAAAATTTTATATATTTTGTGGCACCTTGATGCACACTTTGGGAACCTCTGAACTATAATTTTGAAGATTTACATAACACTAAAGAATTTATTTTTAAATCAATATATGACTGAATGTCATTTCTGTACTTTTATATAAATAACTTTTTTATAACAACAAAACTAATAAAATGCATTAATATATATAGATTGGAAAAGACAGGCCTAAAATTGTCCAGCTGGTCTTCAGATTCAGATTTGTTATTGTTAGACATACAATTATGGAAAATAAAAAAGCTTTGCAAAATAGAGATGGGTACTTAGCAGAATACTAGAGCTGTGAAAGCAACCTATTTTTGGTTAACTTTAACTCACTGTATTTTGTAAACTAACATAAATTATCACTCTGAATATAAGGTCAAAATTACTTCAATTAAGAAGAATGGTAGAGGAAGTAATTATGTTAACAATCTTTGAGCACCCTATATATATGTACATATTGATTATAATATGAAAAATTTTTTAGAATTGAGGATAAATAGCAATTGTACATTTATCTAAAACAGTTTTTCCCTTTAGGATCAGTTGTATAAATCTTAATCTCAAGGTTACATGCATTTTAGTTATTTCTCATTATATAAAGTAATAGTCATTAAAGTACACATATGCAAATATTATAGATAATATCTAACAAATTTACTACTATTTTTTTTCTTTAAACTACATTCCAATCCATCCCATGCTTTTGCTTATTCATTTTGTTTCTTTATCTTATGGATATTTTAAGCCTAAAATTTTTGGCTTTTTTCAGTAACTTACATCACTTAAGATGCATTTCGGGTCTTAATCACTCCTCTTCAGTCCTTAATTTTTATATAGATCTTATCAGAACAAATAATAAATATAAATTACATCACACATACATGTTTGCAGATAATATTTACAAAAAATTTTTTCTACTCACATTAACTGATTATTGAATACAAATTAAAATTAAAAATTATTAGAAACCTCTGGGAAATACTTGAAACAACCATGAATATAATAGGTATGTGGATGGTTGTTTCAAGTATTTCCCAGAAGTTTCTAATAATTTTTAATTTGTATTCAATAATCAGTTAATGTGAGTAGAAAAAATTTTTTGTAAATATTATCTGCAAACATGTATGTGTGATGTAATTTATATTTATTATTTGTTCTGATAAGATCTATATAAAAATTAAGGACTGAAGAGGAGTGATTAAGACCCGAAATGCATCTTAAGTGATGTAAGTTACTGAAAAAAGCCAAAAATTTTAGGCTTAAAATATCCATAAGATAAAGAAACAAAATGAATAAGCAAAAGCATGGGATGGATTGGAATGTAGTTTAAAGAAAAAAAATATTAGTAAATTTGTTAGATATTATCTATAATATTTGCATATGTGTACTTTAATGACTATTACTTTATATAATGAGAAATAACTAAAATGCATGTAACCTTGAGATTAAGATTTATACAACTGATCCTAAAGGGAAAAACTGTTTTAGATAAATGTACAATTGCTATTTATCCTCAATTCTAAAAAATTTTTCATATTATAATCAATATGTACATATATATAGGGTGCTCAAAGATTGTTAACATAATTACTTCCTCTACCATTCTTCTTAATTGAAGTAATTTTGACCTTATATTCAGAGTGATAATTTATGTTAGTTTACAAAATACAGTGAGTTAAAGTTAACCAAAAATAGGTTGCTTTCACAGCTCTAGTATTCTGCTAAGTACCCATCTCTATTTTGCAAAGCTTTTTTATTTTCCATAATTGTATGTCTAACAATAACAAATCTGAATCTGAAGACCAGCTGGACAATTTTAGGCCTGTCTTTTCCAATCTATATATATTAATGCATTTTATTAGTTTTGTTGTTATAAAAAAGTTATTTATATAAAAGTACAGAAATGACATTCAGTCATATATTGATTTAAAAATAAATTCTTTAGTGTTATGTAAATCTTCAAAATTATAGTTCAGAGGNAAAAATTAATAATTGAATAAATTGTCTTTAATAGTAAATCTATTTCTAAAAAACTTTTCACTAATTTACAAATACGTTTTTCTTTTAAAAATTGCAAGACAGATGTGAATATTGTTCCAAAAAGAGTTTAAGTGAATTTAAGGTACATAAAGCTCTAGTATTGTAAAAATACTCTAATTAAAGCATTTTATAGAATACCAATCTGATATACATATTTTTTCGCATTGCCTTTTTATTCTATTTAGTAATATAATGGAACATTTATTTATTTTATTCTTTGTAAAACGATTATAGGAGTGTAAAGTTTTAATACTTTTCTTTTATGTTAAAGCTTAAATATATTCAATTTAAGCAAAAATGTCCACTTACAAAATAAGAAAACAAATTTCTTAACATTAAACCAGTGTTACAAAATATAGTGTGTGTTTATGTTATATAATAATTACAGTAGAACCCCTCTAGTCCACCCTCGGCTAGTCCGTCACTCTGGTTAATCCGACCGTGGTCGGAGTCGAGAAACTTGTCCCGACTCATCGGTGACTCACCGTCTGTGGCATTTTTCTGTGTTCATTACAGTATATGTTTTACATTGTGTGTACATGTACAGTTTTGTGTGTGTTTTCAACATGTCATGAGTGAAACGTAAACACATTACTCTTTCATTAAATGAAAAATTAGCAGTGCTACAAAGACTGGACAAAGGGGAAGATTGTTTATTTTACTTTTTCTGATAATCCGACCTTTTTTGTGTTCCGACCATACCCCCAGTCCCAAAGGTGACGGATTAGAGGGGTTCTACTGTACTGAAAACCAAAACATTATTATTATTGTGCTTTTTCCTAAGCATTAAATAACTTTAACAGTATATTTTGATAGCAAGATATCTTTGCAGATATTTCTAAGATATTGATTTCTACCCTTCTGTCACCTACTGTTACCTCACACTTGAACTTCATTAAATGACATCATTATTTCATTTCTTTCATGGTGTGCTAGTCTTGAATGATACATACTTTGTCTATTGCATGTAATATCTCTTAAATCTAACCTTGAGTGAAAAGATGCACAATTGTAGGCAACATCTCAGCTTTCCAGAGTAATTGCCAATGTTTTGTTTTTTTGACGTATAAAATTTTATAGGAATGATTGTTTTTCAACTTTTCAAAATATATGTTTTAATGAGGATTTATGAATTACTGTATTTATGTGTATATAGGATGCACCTTTTTAACCTAAATTTTTTTACCAAAATAGGGTCAGCCTATACTTGAGATAATGAATAATTTTAAAGCAATTTAAAATTAGGTAGGTTCAGGAAGTTGTTGCATGATTGAAATTTGATGCTGAATCATGAGCTTGTGCCATGCCATGAAATGACTTGCCCAGTCATAACTTCTTAAAGTCACTTTTGGAAATTTTCATATTTTGGGTAATCCTTTGGGCTTTAAACCAAATCATTTCACCAGACACAGAAAATCCATTTGCCCAAATTTCACGGATATAGCTCAACATAATTTCTTCCGGGTCACGATATTTTGTTGTTTTTCCTCAAAATAATTGCCATTTTTACAGTATTTTCTCAAGAGTGTCCTTTGTTTGAATCCATTGCTGCATGTTTTTTCGTCTACATCAAACTTTCTTCCTACTTCTTTATTTTCATTTTCTTGTGCATAAGGCACCACTTGCAATTTAAATTTTGCTGTGTAATCACTCTCACTTGACCCATTTTTAATATGCACTGAGCATGCACTCAACAATAAACATTAACCATCATTTCACCCCTTTGTTTGGGATTTCTGATGTTGCTGTATTTCTGCATATCCACATCTCTACTCTTGTGTCTCAGTGGAATTTTGAGATTTTTACTTTTTTCAAGTATGTTGTTTCAGAAACAGTGTGGATTATACATGCATAAAAATGGTAACTGTTTCATTATGTTTAAAGGAACAAAATGAACTCTGTTGACACTGATTACATAAGTTATTTAATTTAAGATTTAGAAAATAAACAAAAATGTTAGTTATATATGTAATATTTTAAAATTGTTACAATACCTAATTAAAATAATGTATATAAATATTCTGATTTCTGGATTTGTAGTTGTTCAGAAGTGACTGAATTCTAAAGACCATTTAAACTCAGTGAACTTTGGTATTGTAGTGATGAAACATTACCACATTTTTAATTTCAAGCTACATATCTTGTATTTATAGTTTCATCACATTTACAATACATAAATGAAATGATACTTAAGTGATTGCAATAAATATAATTCAGTTTTTTTGTCTACTTTCTCAAACCTGATTAAAAATGTTAAGAGAATCACACAATTTATAAGTAATTTGATATTTTTAAAAAATGCAAATAATTATGCTTATTAATGTTACCTAAATCACTTTATAATATAATATAAAATTTTAATGCAGTGAAGAAAAGAAATATTATGAGTGCCCAATCTGCAAAAGAGCATTTGATCAAATTGTGACATTAAAAGAACATGTTCGTATTCATTATGAAAATGGTGGCTATACTTGTCCTCATTGTCAAAAAGTAAGTATTTTTTTGTGTACTTTGTTTCAAGACATTATTTGTATAAAGCTTTATGAGCACTAATTCAGTAACAGAAAAAAAAGAATGTTATTATGGTGTTGGTAATACTGGTGCCTAGAGCTATATAAAACCAAGGTCAAGGCATAGCTAAAGAAAAAGCTGTTGTTTGTTCACTGTCTTGTATGCATCAGTGTTTAAGAATTTCCTGGCATACATGTTTAGTATAGCTGCTTTCTATAATGTCATGTCTATACTGTTGTGAAGTCCTGATGTTTCTAGGTTTTTGTGTAGTGGCATATGTTGTGTACCTACAAACAAGGAAAGACTGCAGACATTTTGTCGGCAAGTTCTACTTACTAAAATAATTTTGTCTGTTTGGAATAGCTATTTCTTTGATGAATGTGATGTCTGGTCAGTTGTGATATATTATTATGATTGAGCCTTAATTACAGACAAAACATATATTTTGTGTGCGTTTTATGACCATGTGATGTGTGTATTTATAGTATGGTTGCTGGATATGTATTAGTTTGTGTGACACTTTTTAATGTATTGTATTTGTTGTTTGATTATGTTGATGTAAGTACTGAGTTTGTGTTTAAAGCTTGTATGTAGTCCAATATGATGTTTTATTGTTTCATACATGATATGGCATTTCTTAATAGTAATATTCACAAATAACACTTCTATGATCCAACGATATTATTTTATTATAACAGGAAATATTTTTTGTTTTTTTTTCAGACTTTTCAAGAATATAATCAAATTCGAAAGCATATCCGTGCCTTTCATTCAGAACGGAGATATCCCTGTGAAAAATGTGACAAAATATTTCCTCGTCCCGATAAATTAAAACTTCATATGCTTAGGCATTCTGATCATAGAGAATTTCTCTGTGCTAATTGTGGCAAACAGTTTAAAAGAAAAGATAAATTAAAAGAACATATGAAAAGAATGCATGCTCCTGAAAGAGAAGCACGACTAACAGCAAGAGGATCAAAACCATCTTCTTCTAAGAAATTTGTACCTAAGGTATGTTAATTATTATGAAATTTAAAAGGATATGTATAAATTACCATTGGTTGTAAAAATATTAAAATATACAAGTTTTTCACAGTGATTATTTTATTAGTGACTTTAATAATATAATATAATTACTGTATTAACAGTTTGTTTTATATATAATAATTCTATATAAAGACAATAGATAATAGTTCTTTCTTTAACTACAGTATTTCTGAATAAATTTAAAATAAAAATGAATTATTTCTATTATTATAAAGTTTTAAATATAAATCTGCTAATATACACATTATTTGTCATTATTTAAGGCCAAAATATACTGTAATGCATCGGGTTATTATTTTGGCTAGCCCAATGCATTACAGTATTGTTTGGCATTAACTAATAATGCTGGGTTTGAGATGTTTATTTATTTATGTCATTAAATAATTACAGAAAATACCTAACAATGAAAGTATTAAAGTTTTTGCAAACATGCACACTATGTGTGCACACTTGTGCAGCTTGATGTATTAGTAATCAAAATAATTAAATACATTATTAACAGCAAAACATATATATATATATATATATTTACAATTTGTATTTTAGGTATCGCCAACAGATTATCACCGCTTCATATACAAATGTCATACCTGCCTTTTAGGATTCAAAAGACGAGGAATGCTAGTTAATCATTTAGCAAAACGTCATCCAGATATAAGACCAGAATCAGTTCCAGAATTAAACCTTCCTATTTTGAAAACTACTAGAGATTATTACTGTCAATACTGTGAAAAAGTTTATAAATCCAGTTCTAAGCGAAAGGCTCATATTTTGAAAAATCATCCTGGTGCAGAATTACCTATGAGTAACCGTCGAAAGGTAAATATTTAGTTAAGAATTATAGAGAAAATAATTTCATATACAGTAGTGCCTGCTTATAATGAACCTGTATGGGCTGTCAGAACTTGTTTGTTATAATCTACGTTTGTTATATCAAATAAGGACTAAAACAGCCTAATTTTGAAAAACTGAAGTTTAATGTCTCAAAGATAAAATCTAATAAATTATTACTTAGGAAGTTGCCCATTAAAACATCAATTTAAATGTGCATGGTTATTAAAAAACTGTTTCTGTTGGTTTGTCAATTTTTGCTAGTTGCATAGCATTCTGTAATATATATTTGCATCTCAGCAAAACTATTTAAAATATTTTGCTAGAGTACTATGCATTTGTAAAAACTCATGAATAACAACTCTGTTTTGCAAAACTTCAGAAGTTGTTGTTTATGGAATGTCAACACCATCTGCATATGTTGTGTTGTCATCTTTATCCTCACTAATTTCATTATTTTTTGAATTTTTTAAAGACACTGAAGCTATAATATCATCGGTCAAAAGTTCCTTACTAATAACACTGTCATCAATCCTGACATATTCTTCAAAATCATAGTCAGAAAATGCATCCAGTAATTGCAGAGGGAGCACATCTTTGAACACCTTTTATTTCATCATTTGTAAGTTCACTTTTCAAAAGTTTGTTAATCAGATTGTTGTCATCTGAATTAATTGAACTCTTCTCCATTGGTTTGTAGAAAGCCAGTGTGTTGAAAAGAATTTGCTATTGTTTGCATTGATACATTTTGCCATGCCATATGGATGAAGTTTATTGCGTCAAGATTTATAGAAAAGAATTCTTCACTATTATCTATAGAAGTTACCATTTTCAAAAAGAGAATTTGTGAATAGCTGCTCTTTGAATTGTATATAATGCCTTGATCTAAAGACTGTAGTTTTGAACTTGTATTGGGCAGCATGAACACCAGTTTAATGCAATGTAAATTCTTGATGTCTTGTTGTGCTGGGCAGTTGTCAGTCAGTAATAAAACTTTTCATCTTTTTCTTCTCAATTCTTCATCCTATTCTCACAGTTCACCACAGAAAATGTCAGAGGCTATTCAAGCTCTTTGGTTAGATTCGTAATGTACTGGTAGATGTTGATTTTTTGAAAGATCTTGGATTTTTAATTTACTGATTACTACTAATTTTCTCTTTTCCATTTCCATAAGATTTACTGTTAGTAGAATAGTAATTCTTTCTTTATGTAATTTTCCTCCTGCACAGCTTCCTCCTTTGAATTTTTGATGTAAGCTTATAAAAAAGAATTGTTTTTTCTGCATTAATGATATCACAATCTTGGAAATTTTCTGTAATTTTTGGCCACTTATTTTGCAACCAGTCTTCTACCACATCCACATTTATTAAAGCTGCTGCTTCTCCAACAATTTTTCAGCTTCTAATACTATGTCTTTTTTAAATCTCAATCCAATTTCTACTGCATTTAAACTTAAGAAGCAAATTGGAAGAGAGTACTAACTCTTCCACTTTTGACTACAATATAGCAACAGTAATACTGTAGTTGTGTTTTTAAGTCTGTGTTGAAAAAACCATTTTAACAATACTTGATTTAATTCATTATGCATTTATTTTTCTAGGCTTTTTAGCATTTGAATTATTACATTCAAAACTCTTCAATAATTTTTCTTTTTCCTTCCAAATGGTAGCAACTGTTGATTTAGTTATATTCATTTCTTTACATTATTTACTTTGCTTTACACTGCTTTCCAACCTTTTAATAATTTCATATTTAGTCTGTAATGTAAATGATTTACATTTCTGTTTACAGTGATTAGTGCTTAGTGTCATTGTATTTCACAAGGACGTATGCATGGTACTTTGTAATTCCAACGTAATGAATAGGAAGAGTCAGTATGCCTCAAGATAATGTGCAGTTTGTTATTCTTTATAACAAACATTAGTGAACAGAATTTTTCTAAGCAATCACAGCATAAATTTTAAATTTTGTGATGGTTTGGTTTTGAAATTCAAATTTGAAATACTATATTTACAGTTGAAATTTTCTAGCCAATCAAAAGCATACTTTCAATTTACAAACATTAAAATGGGTGGGAAATTGAACAAAATACCTTTGAAAATTGTTTAACCATTAATAACAGATTAGAAATAATATTTAAAATTTAAATTACAGCACTAACAAGTGAAAATCTTGAACAGTGTAAATTTCTAAGTTCATTGTTAATGGGCCAGTATATGAACCTCAGAAAATACCTTAGAGAAGTAAGAAAACTGATAGAGAGTATAAAAGTATAAATTTGTGATGAAAAATTAGATAAATATATCTGTGCATTGAAATTAGTTACACTAGTTAAAAGCAAAAGTATCCAAATTAATTAATTAAACAACATTTCACATATTAGGTTATTTTAGGTCATGACCCCTTACCTTTTGTTTAACCCTGTATTGTCACACTCATTATGTTATTGGAAGAAGTATTTATTTAAAAACCTAGTAATGACTTTAAAGTATTCTTTGTATGCATAATCCATTATAAGCAATAACTTTTGTTTAAGCCAGAAAAAATAACATTGCTCTTATGAGTATCTCATTCGTAGTTTTGAAATTGGTTCATTATAGCCAAGAGCTCGTTATAAGTGAACACTACTGTATAGATACAGTAAAAGTATCTTCATTGTGGAATCTTGATAACAAGAATCTTTTTTATTACTTGAATTCATGGTTAAGTTCAATCTGCTAAGCTGTTCAAATATACATATATACTGTAGTATATATATAGTACAGTCCTCTTATTATAATCACAGATGTTATTGTTAGTCATCTAATGTTTATGGGAATTAGCCTGTCTCAAAATATAAGTTAAAATACCCTTATAAAACTTTGCTTATTGTTATTATTATCTTCAGATAAATAAGCATTTTTAGGCTGTCTTTTTGCAAAATTCTTATCATTCTTAGCCAGTACTTTTAAATATTAATCATTATTTGCTTGCATTATAATAGTTTAAATTGCTGAAATTTCTTTCTTCAATTAAATGTGGATTAATTGGTATTGGTAGTACAGTAGAACCTCGAAAACTCGGCTCTCGATAACCCGGCACTCCGGATAACTCGGCCACACCCTGGCAGGGCAAAAAAATCCTTAGTTAATTAATTTTCATTATAGACAGCTTTATAAAAGTATAAAAGCTCTCATAAAGTATTTTTCTGAGGTCTGTCTTATCAGGTAAATTACTGTACACAGTGTATTCATTAATTTTCATTTTCATGTAGTA